AAATAGCCTCTAAATGAACAGCACGGGGTTAGTGGTAGGTCAGACAAGGTCCTGTCCAAACTGGCACATACACACCCAGCTGTGAACACAACAGATTCTAAATTTACCATTTCTCTTGATAACAGCCCGAAAGGCTATGGCTGTTCTCTCCCAAGACGAAACAAGGAATGGGCCCTGCGTTTTTTTTCAGAATGGGAACATTTCTCTGTACTGAAGGTCAAAGGTACTCAGGGCATAAAGTCTTAGCTCTCCAGCAGCTCCACTCTTGAAGCTGCCCTGAGCAGGACTGAGCCAGTTCCTTCCTGGCCAGCTCCCCCTGCCCTTTCTTCCTCACAGGGCTGAGATCACGTGAGCTCTGCCTCTGTCCATCCCCGGATCCACCTGTCACAGCCTCAGTCATGGCTGACTCCAACTCTACCTTCTACAGATTTGCCTCTGGGTAGCAGAGCTCTGCTAAAGGGAAAGCTCCATAGCGAGGGGCTACAAATTCCTGACAAATCTCGACCCCACTGTAGGCACCCTCCGAGTCTCACCTATTTATGGTTACCTTACTTTTCATGCTTCTGCACTTATGCTCTTTTTTTGAGAGCTTTTTTTCATTTTATGTGTCTTTTGCCTGCATGTATGTATGTGCACCATGTGCATGCTTGGTGCCTGCACAGGTCAGAAGAGGCATCACTAACCCCGAATTGAGGGTAAGACAGTTGTAAACCACCCTATGGATGCTGGGAATTGAACCCAGGTCCTCTGCAAAAGCAACAAGTGCTCTGAATTGAGTTGTCTCTCTAGCCCTGCCCACTTCTTCATTCTTTTATTGGACAAATACTTAGTGCCTGCTGGATGCCAGAAGACCTAGGTCCTAGGATACAGAGTGAACACAATAGAGAAAAATCCTTGCCCTTTGAACACATTCTTAGTGAGGGGAGAGACAAACAATTCTCAAGAAAGATCACACCCAATGACAGTGACAATAAATATATAAAGCTGGGAAGGGGGTATATTGCACAGAGTGTAATGTTTAAAGATTTAGTTCATATGGATGGATGTGTACCTGAGTGTGTATGTGTGTGTCATGCTAACACAGGCGCCAATGGAGGCCAAAACAAGGTGCTTGATATTCTGAACTGGAATAATAGTCTGTGTGTGCCACCTGATGTGAATGCTGGGAACCAAACCCTGGCTCTCTGCAAGCAGCAAGTGCTCTAAACTGACCAGTCAACACGCCAGCAGCCTGAAGACCAACCCTACCCCACTCTTGCTGTGATTTTTTAAAAATCATAAATGTAAATGTAACATCAATTTAGCATAATGCACATAGGTGTACAGCTGGCTTGGGTCTTCACAAACTGAAATACCCACTGCCTATAAAGGGTAACAATGCTTCACTGAGAAAACACTCTTTCAACCAATACCTCGAAGAGGAGCAAGGTCATTGAAAAATGAAGGGAAGTGTGCTCTGTGCTGGGGAGACAGTGGAGCCTGCATGACCATCAAGCTGAGGAGGCAGGGAGGCTTTGGTGGTTGGCGTGCAGTGACAGCTCCTGTAGGAACAAGATCAACACGGCCCCCTGCTTCCTGTCTACAGGCATGCACTGGTGCAGTTTCTTTACACACTTCATCTAAGTATATAGTCTACATAAGAATTTATTGCTTATGAATATTTTGTCTGCGTGTATCTCTGCGCACCAAATCTATGCCTCGTGTCCAGAGATGTAATTAGAGGGTGTTCGGATCTTGTGGAACTAGAGTTAACAAACAGTTGAGAGCCGCCACATGTGGTGATTGAGGATTGAACCTGGGACCCCTGTACGAGCAGTCAGTGCTCTTAACCACAGAGCCACCATTCTAGCACCCTAAATATTTTCTAGTATATTATTCTAAGCACTGAACACTCCCAATGGGTGTAGCCTGAATTTAAAAGCTATTTTCAGGCAGGGTATAGAAGTGTACACTTGTAACCCCAGCAATTAGAAGATACAGGCAGCAGAATTCAAAGTTCAAGGGTCACCAGGGATATGAAGCAGCAAGACACCATTCCTAAAAGAAGCTACCCATTAAAAACTGAACCACCATGTTTTCTTACTTCAGCCTGAACTTACACTAGAATCTCCAGGAGCAATCAAACTTTTTCTCTATGAAAAACACACAAATCATATTAGGTCTTCTAAGCCTTGCCACATTATTTAGTTACAATACTGAAACATGAACCAACTTCTCCATTTGTTGAAGAACATCAATACTGACCCCTGCCAAGGTTATTTTCTAGTAATGAATTTAAGTGATTTTTGTTGTTTTTAGCAGCCTAGGTTGGCCTCAACTAAAATTCTTCCTGCTGGGATTCTGGTGGGTGCCACCGCACTTGCTGAGTTAGTGTCTCCGATAATTCTGAGATCTGAATGCATTAGCATCGGCACAACTCCTCAGCACACCTGGAAATCAGAAATTGTTTGCCAAATGCAAGTCGGTCCCCTTGACAGGCATTCCACGACCCTAATACTGCCACTGACAATTAATTTAGAGGTTCAGGTCCACAAAAATCAAGCATCTCGAGCACCAGAGCGCAAAGTCAAATCTGCTTCTCTACAGTATCCCTGACAATGGTGTTACAAACTGCACCCCGTAACTAAGCAGTGGGTGTAAATTACTAACAAACAACACAGAATAACAGAGATAAAAACCTATATGCTGCCTTGGTAAAGAGAGTGGGCTAAACACATGAATAAATATGGTATGTCCACTTGAGATCCCATTCAATAACAATGTAAAGGTTTTTGGGTTTTGGGTTTTTTTTTTGGCCCATTTTAAGGTTAAAACCTAAAAGGACAGAGGATGAGACAGAGACAACAGTTACAAGTACAGAGCCCCCAAGTCTCTGGAATGGATGGATCCGTATGCCTCTGCAAGTGGGGAACAGTTACAAGCACAGAGTCCCCAAGTCTCTGGAACGGGTGGGTCCATATGCCTCTGCAAGTGGGGAGTGAGGAGACATCAAACTAACAACCACTCAGAGAAGGTCCACATCATCAAATGCTGCCCGTATCTCTACAGGGCTAAGCCACCTCTGCAAGATAGACACCCCACCTCCCTGGGCCTCACCACAGCCCTCCCACCTCATCTGACTCCCAGAAGCCTAGCAAGGCCTTTGTTAAGCCTCACAAGATTAGAAGAATATTCTCTAAGGAATGACCTAAATACAAAATACCTAAAGACATGGATGCAAACCCTTTTCTCAATTAAATGCCTCAAAGATCTCCCTTAGGGAGCTGGAGAGATGGCTCAGAGCTTGTAAGAGCACTGGCTATTCTTCCATAGGTTTTGAGTTTAATTCCCAGCAATCAGATGGTGGCTCACAACCATCTATAATGAGATAAGTAATAATAACATCTATAATAATCTTCTGGCCTGTAGGCATACATGCACCCAGAATTTTTTTATACATAATAAATAAATCTTTGGGGCTGGAGACATGGCTCAGAGACTAAGAACAATGAGTGCTCTTCCAGAGGTCTTGAGTTCAATTCCCAGCAACCACATGGTGGCTCACAACCATCTGTAATGGGATCCGATGCCCTCTTCTGGTGTGTCTGAAGAGGACAGTGTGCTCACATAAAATAACTAAATCTTAAAAGCGAAAAAGAAAAAAAAAAAGATTTCCCTTAGGGAGAGCCCAACACCAATAGGTTCTACCGGCTCACAAGGAGAAGTGTCTAGCATGAAAGAAATATGGGTGAAAGCCATTTTAGGCAACAAAGTATAAAAGACAAAACAACGAGTTGTATATTATTCTACAAAGAGAAAAGGCAAGATAGGGAAAGACACCATCAATAAAAACATGTCCATACAGTAAACACACACACACAGAGTCACTGTGGAATGGAAGACACTACCAGGACAACAGATCCTTGTTTCTCAGAAAGAAAAATTAGGCCTCACAGAGAGACCAGGAGTCAAAAGGTTTCAGATTTCTCAGCAGCACTCAAAAGCCAGAGCCACCATCATAATGTCTTAAAACCCTGAAGGGTGAAGATTCCAACCAGAACTCTACCTTCAGCAAAGATTTAACCATGTGACTACAGAACAAGCAATTCTCAGACCAGTAAAGTCTAAAAATGTTCACTTCCGATGTCACCAGTCAGGGCTCCAGGAAAACAGCAAGGACAAGAAAACGCCGTTCCCAGGTTACAGCCACACAGTCCAGAGGGAACAGCAGAGGCTCCGGGGGCACTCCCTCAGGAAGGCAAGAAGATGCGGTGACTGATCGAAACAAAGGATGTATTTTGGTATCTAGTGAAAAGTTAGTTAGTTTAGTGGAAAGTTCATAGGAAAACAAAATCTATGGGTTAATAGGAACATGGAAAAGAAAACCATCGATCTAACCAAAACCACACTAGGCTGCGTACAGGAAGACAGGTGACAAAAAACATCTGAGTGATGGGTACAAAGAATAATGACAGTATCATCATGTTCCTAAGACACACTAGTGATACTGGAGAGATGGCTCAGTTGCAGCTCTCACAGAAGGTCCAGCACCCAATGGCAGCTCCTAACTATCTAACTCCAGTTCTAGAGAATCCAATGTCCTGGTCTCCATAAGCACCGGGCACTCACATGGTACACATACATACAAGCAGGCAGACACACACACACATAAAATAAAAACAATCTTAAAAATGAAACAAACCTCATATACATTAGCTAAACAGAGGCAAGTGTGGATAGCTGCTCTGGAGGACTTACAGCCCCCTTCAGCCAACACACATAGAGTTTAAAATTTGAGTTTAAAATATGGCACTCCCTGGCCCACTTTCACGTCTTTGTATTTCTAACATCAAGCAGTCACCTGCAGCTCATGAAGACTTTGGCAAAGAAGCCTTAATTCCACATAGCAGGATTAACAAACTGTCAAGTTCAAACAAACTATAAGAGCGACAGTTGCAACACTGTAACAGTCCACCAGGGATGGCCACAACCACCAAAGCCGGAGGAAAACACAAAACTCATGCTTTCTTCATCAGAATGTTTATTAAAAATATAGACTGTGCTTAAATGTCATTGTGGGTGTATGCTGACTTCCAAACAGACTCTTCACAAATAACACTTTGAACAGAAGTTGTAAACAGAAATGACTGCCGAGACAGTACCATTTCAGACACAAGCCCCTGAGAGCCTGACACTATTTACCATCCCATCAACACTCACAGAGGTGGATATCTTGGGCCTAAGGGCACCATGACAACAAGACATCTTTTTGTACTTCCCAAATAGTTTTATATTGCAGCTATGGAGGTCAGTTCTCAAAGCCCAACTTGTTCTCAACAAGTAGTTTTTCTGTCCGTTTAATCAGTCTTACACCTTTCTGGGCCAATTCATCTGCAGACAGGAGGAGAAACTGTCACCAGTTCTTCATGCCATGCATCCATGTGACTAATCCTCATATGCTATCCAGCTTCTTTAAGATGTATGGAGCTGAAAGAAAAATCCCAAATTAGGTTTTATTCTCTGAGTCCACAGGCTATACTGCACAGTTACATAACTGGTGGTGGTAGCGGGTGTCACGGACTTTATGAAGTATTTTAGAAACTTCCAAATTGCTATCAAACCTCTGTCTGACTACAAAAAGGGATTCGCTGCCTTGTGAAGCTGCTAGCTCCCATGTCACTCAGTGACCATCACCACCAAGCAAGCAACCTCACACTACTGCATCTTTCCTCTAGGGCTGTAAGTAACTCCAACAGTCCTTTACTGTGGGGACCTCTCACCTACTTTGGACTACAGGGTGAACAGGCCAAGCAAGGACTTTACCCTCAAGGTATACAGCAAGGTGTGTGTGTGTGTGTGTGTAGGGGGATACCTTTTTAACCCAAACAGGACAAAAACCCAAGAGGATACAAATGGGTATTAGGTTTGATTACCAATACAAGGGCTGGGAGAAGGCACAGGGGAGGAAAATCCCTGGGGAAGACAAGCAGAAGAACAGACACCTACTCTGGTTTCTCTCTGTCACCTATGCCCTCCTTCGGATCACACCAGTTACTGTGCTGATTTGATAAATGATGGTACACAGAGCTGTCTGGAATACTAAAGTGACATTACTGGGACAGAGAGATGACTCAGCAGTTAAGAGTGTCTGCTGTCAATCAGGAGGACCTGAGTTCAGATTCCAGCAGCCAGCCATACCTGAAAGCTTACAATTAATAGCCAGTTTAACTCTTGTTCCGGGGGTTCCAATGACTTCTTCTGGACTGTAGGTGTGTGGTTCACATACAGTCAAGCAGAAAAACACATAACAAAAGTCTTCTGTTAGCCGGGCAGTGGTGGCGCACGCCTTTAGTCCCAGCACTTGGGAGGCAGAGGCAGGCGGATTTCTGAGTTCGAGGCCACCCTGGTCTACAGAGTGAGTTCCAGGACAGCCAGGACTACACAGAGAAACCAAAAAAAAAAAAAAAAGTCTCCTGTTTTGATTTGTTTTAAGAAAGCTTTCTCTATGTAACAGCCCTGTCTGTCCTGGAACTTCATTTGCAGACCAGGCTGGTCTTAAACTCACTGAGATCCTCCTGCCACTGCCTTCTGGGATTAAAGACATGTGCCTGGTTATAAATAAAAATCATTAAATAGGATAAATCAGTGCCCAGCAAATACAAAGATCACTAAGCTAACATTCTCCAGCTCTCCCTGTATGAAAAGGATGAAAAAGTTAAAAGAGGCTGTCGGATGAGTAGGATGGTCTGGGTGCTTCCATTTCCCAAAATACAGAGAGTACAGCAAGAGGCACCCAAATGAGGGAGGTTTCCACCTCAATGAGTTCAAAGTGAACTCTAAATCCAGTCTTCTAAAAATTTTGGTATGTTCAATTATTCGAGCCACTCCTGCCTCTCCCTGCCCAGAAGACAGCCATATGGCAAGCAAGCACTAAACAATGTAAGCACTTGTACTGAGAATGCATGAGGGGATGGGTCACTTGTTATAATATCAGAGAACCGAACTAGATAGCTGCTCGGTGCTTTAAAAAATATATATATCTTTTTATTGTTTACTTTTGTATGCACTCTGTTGTGTGGAGCAGGTGTGGAGGTCAGAGTACAACTTCTAAAAATTGGTTCTCTCCTGCTACCAAACGTGAATCCAGCTCAGGTTGTCCAGCTCTGGCAAAGTGCCCAAATCCGTGAGCCATCTAACCAGCCCCTGCTTTTTAAATTGACAGTGTGGCTTTAACCTTGCACATGTGTCCTGTGAACGCAAGCTCTAACTTGAGGGGGGGGGGGAGATAGATCAAGCAACAAAATTAACTTTTGTTAATGTTGAAATCAAATGGTTCAGATATTCTTCAAGGAAAACCAATTATTTATTTCACCCTCTGTACAAATAAACACAAAGAAAGCTAATCTCTTGTATTTCAAAGGCAAGCAGAGAGAGAAAGCACCTGGTACCTTATTAAGAGCTCGGCTGTAATTGTATTCAGATTCATTCTCTGAACCGCCAAATGACCTTGGGACGCCAACCTCCCGGGGACTGTTCCTAGGTTTTCAAGACCAGGGTATTGCAATGGGGATAACACGTGGAAGCTCCTTAAGCACAAACACGTTGGGCGAGCAAAGGTGACTTAACCACGCGCCCTCCGCCACCACGTGCACTGGGCACATACTCAGGACCCGCAGACTTCTAGAGTGCGCGCAGTTGGGCAGCCCTGGACGTACAAGCAACCCACTCTCCCCAGGATGCTCAGCTCAAGGCCCCACGACCGCGTGCAGGGTTGGGTGTGGACGCGTGGCCTCACGGTCACAGCCCAGAAGGACACTCACTGACTCGCAGCAGGGCCACGTAGATGAGGAAGTTCCGAATGGAGGAGACCACATCCTCACGCATCTTTCGCTTCATCTCCTCCGGGTCCAACTTCGGCGCGAGACCCTCGATCCGGAACATTGCGGCGGCTCTGCCTCCAAAGCTTGCGAGAGCGGCAACCTGCTCTCCTCCAGTGGCCGCCCTGCACCCGGAACTCACCCAGGTTCCACTTCCGGTCCCACCCCTTGTTTCCGTCCTGAGACGGGAACCTGTGAGGGAAAAACTTCATCCTGTCTTCTTGTGTCTGAATCAAAGAGACCTGAAGGGGGCGGCCGCAGCTTTAAGTGACTTAAGTGACTCTGAGACTTGGGTGGCTCTGGACTGTGTTTTGGTCCCCAGCGGGACTGAAACGGAGAGTGCCACCTGTAAAGTTGTTTTATGCTGTAAAATAGGGAAGTGTGTACAAAAATATCATTATAAATAATAATAGCATTTATGAAGTATCTAAAATAGTACTTCGTGAAATGCGCGTTATAATCTGTGTTTCCTAGGTTTGAAATTTAAAACAACTTAGTTGGGAATGAAGTTCCTTTGCCAAATCGTTTTCTTAGAATGCATGAAGCCCTGGGGAGTAGTGTCGTCGTCGTCGTCCTCGTCGTCGTCGTTGTTGTGATAAATACCATCAAAACAACTTAGGAAGGAAAGGGTTTATTGCACCTAACATGTTACATTATCCAGGGAAGCCAGGGCAGGAGTTCAAGCTGGAACCTAGAGGCGGGAACTGAAACAGAGACCAAGCAGAGATGCTGCCCTTACTGGCTAGCTTGCCCTGGCCTCAACCAGCTTTCTGTTATTGGTTAGGACCACCTCCCGGGTGGCATCGCCCATGATGGGCTAAGCCTTCCTCCATCAATTAGTAGTCACACAATGACCCTCAAATCCACCAACAGGGTGATCTGGTGGAGGCAATTCCTCAATTGAGGTTTTCTCTTCCTAGGTGTCAAGTTGACAAAAACTAGCCAGCACAGTGGTGCACACCTGTGTTCCCAGCACTAGGGTGTTGGATAGAAGAGGGTCAAGAGTTGAAGATCAGGGCAGTGGTGGTACATGCCTTTAATCCCAGCACTTGGGAGACAGGGGCAGGAAGATCTCTGAGTTCAAGACCAGCCTGGTCTATAGAGTGAATTTCAGGACAGCAAAGACTACACAGAGAAACCCTGTCTCAAAACAACAAACAAACAAACAAACAAAAAAGAGTTCAAAGTCAAGGTGGAAATACTGTCTCACACTTGTAATCTTAGCCCAAGAGACAGAGGCAGAAGAATTACTGCAAGTTCAAGGGCAGCCTGGGTTACAAAGTAATTACAAGGACAATCTGGACCAGAGACCCTGTCTTAAAAAACAGTCAACCCCAAGATAAACAAACACAGACAAAAAACAGAGGTCAAGGTTATCATTCTCAGCTAGTGAGTTCAGACTGCCAGTGCCCCAGACACTAAATTTTTAACGTTTCCCACATTTTTTCTGTATATTCATTTTTGGAGATAATTAATCCTAATGCAGACCTTAGAATACAGCAAGTATGATCCCAGTTCAAAACTGATCAATACTGGGCAGATGAGAAGAAATCAAGTGCACTGTTAATTGGACAACTGAATTTTTTACATAATTCAATACCAGGATGTCTTTTTTGGGGCACACTGTATAGCAACAATGAATTTGGGATTAAATAAGAACAATACTTTACTATGAGAGCAATCGATAATGTTAGCATATCTACCCACCTTTCTGATTTTTTTTGTTTTGTTTTGTTTTTTTTGTTTTTCGAGACAGAGTTTCTCTGTGTAGCCCTGGCTGTCCTGGAACTCACTCTGTAGACCAGGCTGGCCTTGAACTCAGAAATCTGCCTGCCTCTGCCTTCCAAGTGCTGGGATTAAAGGCTAAAATCTCTTCTAACTCTGACAATCTATGCATTTTGAGTCCTATTTGTGTCACTGAGGGCATAATAGTTTGGAGTACATGAATGCCAATGTATCATCACCCATGATCAGCTAGTGTACTGGCTAGATTCTTGTCAAATTGACACAAGCTTGGGTCATCTGGGAAGAGGGAACTTCAGCTGAGAAGATGTCTCCATCAGATTGTCCTGTGGGCAAGCCTGTGAGGCATTTCCTTGATTGATGATTGGTGTGGGAGGGCCCAGCCCACTAAGGGCAGTACCCTTACTTGACGAGTGATCCTGGATTGTACAAGGGAGCTGGCTGAGTAAGCAGCATTCTTCCATGGCCTACACTTCCTTCAGTCCCTGCTTCCAGGCTCCAAACTTAAGTGCCTGCCCTTGGCTTCCTTCTGTAATGGACTGCTCCTGACAACCAAAATAAACCATTTCCTTCCCAAGTTGCTTTCAGTTATCACATCAACAAAAACTAAAACAGATAAACAGATACAGAGTATGTCTATTAGTTAAGGTAGGAAAGAGTGTAACAATAAACAGATTTTGCCACACCCAGTGGCTCACACCTTTAACCTCAGCAGAAGCTTTAATCTAGGCAGACATAGGCAGATCTCTGAATTGGAAGCCAGTCTGGTTTACAGAGTGAGCTCCAGGTCAGCCAGGACTACACAGAGAAACCTCATCTCAAAAACTAACCAACCAACCAACCAACCAACCAACCAAAGAACCCAATAGACAGATTTGCATCTGAAAAGTGAGGCAACACAGACCGGGAAGGAAATAATCGTCAATTACATAGTTCCAATAACTTAGGCTCCAAACGCTGACCTAGTTTAGATGTGAAAATACTTTTTTTCTTTTTTGGTCCACTGACATGCTTTTGAGTAGCTTGAATTCACAGAACATCAATGTCAGTATTAAATTAACCAAAACCCAGGCTTCTTGAAAAAAAAAATCAATTTCTAACACTTGAGTTGTGTTTATCTAATGCCCAATGAAAGAGGCATTATGTCCAGGCAGGAAATACCTGACTGGTATATCAGCTAAAAGACAATATGATTCCAAGATTTATCTCTTTTCATTTTATGTGTATGAATGTTTTGCCTATGTGGATGTCTGTGTATCATGTGTGTGCTGGTGCCCAAGAAGGCCAAAACAGAATGTTGAATCCTTTGGAACTGCAGTTCCAGATGGTTGTGAGCCTCCTTATGGGTGCTGGGAATGGAACTGGGGTCCTCTTGCAAAAGTAGCAAGTGTTCTTCACTTCGGAGGTATCTCTTCATCCCCAATGTAATTCTTGTGAAGACTCCTTAGGTACCTGGTACCTTAGGTCTGGTACCTGCCCACCTTGAGCGACAGAGAGGGAATTAATTGACCTGTGGTACAGCCCTGTCTTACTGGTCTGGATCTAGTCTATGAGAACTGTTTCTGTGTCAGAAATGCTCATCCTGGTGAACTCGGCCTTCTGCCTCTTGCATGGTCCCTCTAGTCATCTTGGAGGACACTCATAAGAATAGGCTCCCCATTTTAGGCTTTTAAATAGTGCTTATTTATATATCTATTTATTTAGCATATAGGAGCTGACATCATCCAATCACAGTGAATTTAGGTGAGGCAAATTAAGAAAGAAACCTCCAGAAGTCAGCACTGGATGGAGCCATTTCATATTTTAGACTCCTTGTCTGGATGCTGAGTGCTTTAGGTCTCGTCTTTGAAGTCACTTGTAACTAAAATACTATATTTCCAAGCTTATTTTGTTTCTTGTTCTTTCTACATAATGATCTAAACCTAAGAGCAAAGGATTTATCATGATGTGCACTGAGAGGCAAAAATAAAGAGTATGCATACATAATTTAATATTGATGTTTGTGTTCTTTAGTTTGATCACAGAGGAAATAGCCGCTGATGTCATAGCCTGTCTTGTTTTCCATTTGGATCCCAGGAGGAATTTAGGAGCCATTTCCTTTGACTCAATTTCCCAGACAGCCCTCATGTAAGTGTTCAGAGTGTACAACCAAACTATAAGAGAATTAAGTGTTTTAATCTCCATCACTGGGGGAGAATTTATATGTGCATAGCCAGAGAGTCACTGATAATTCCTGATTGAGAAATTAACACGATATAAAATACCAATGACCTTGTGCTTTGTGATCTATAGAAAACAGACTTTGGATACTGAACAGTTCAACTTTTCTGTTTAGCATACAGGGAAACTGGGGCCTAGAGAGGAGCTAGTTAGGAAAAGGTATGACCTGGTGGGTCTCTGGTGGCTAGTTTGGTTTTTCCTCCCATCATATCCTGACAGTTCTCACCCAGGAGATAAGGACAGAAAGAATGGTTGCTCCTTCCATCTTTAGAGAGGCAGGGCTTACCCACCAGAGGCTGAGGGCATTTTTCCCCCACATTCCCACCCCCATGATGGCAGCCGACATGGACTGAGTTATTCAGCTCCAATCCTGCCCTTCCTCATTCCTTAGGGAGGAGCACATCCTTGCCTCCTTTGACGTTGGCTGGGTGTGGTGGAAGTCTCTTTACTCCTAGTATTTGGGAGCTGGAAGGAAGATTAGGAGATCAAGTCTATCCTATTCTGGGCTACATGATAACCTCATATCAAAGAAAGCCAAGACAAAAATAAAAATAATATAAGTAAACTTGACTTAGAAGTCCACTAAGGACTCAAAATAAATGAAACAAAATTCAGGACAAGGAAGAGAGAATTGGACTCTCTCTCCCTCCCCTCCCTCCCCTGCCTCACTTTTTGTTGTTGTTTTCTGAGACCGGGTTTCTCTGTGTAGTCCTGGCTGTCTTGGAACTCTCAACCTGAAAGTAGAGTGTTCGGTAAAGAAGATGCCAGTGAGGTGAAGTTTATCAAAATTCTCTTCATTAAGGTTCAAAGGGTCCTCCCTGGAAATGCGAGTCTCTCACTAGGCAGTAAGTGCTAGAAGATGTGTTATCTATCAGGTGAGGATTATGAGCCTCTATCACAGAGCAATCTTCTTGTTACTGTAGACCTGGCTGGCCTTACACTCTGCCTGTCTCCACCTCCCTAGTGCTGGGATTAAAGGCATGTATCACCACCACCCAGTGATACTTGGTCTTTGGAAGCCTGCTGTGTTGGGTTGGGGAGATGGCTCACCAAGTAAAGGTGCTTACTGCCAAGACTGATGACCTGGGACTCACATGATAAAAAGACAACTCCTGCAAGTTGTTCTCTGACCACCATACTGGTCAACGATAGATAGATAGATAGATAGATAGATAG